AACATCAACTGTGATTTTATTTCTTATTGTAGCTTTTGACAGTGAAACTGAGCCTAAAGGAGAGAACAGGTCAGTTTTAATGGTAAACCTTTAAGCTGTCCTGTTACCAGGAATCACCTCACAAAAAATGGCTAGTTTTTATCTGTTCTATTGTTATTGCAAGCAGAAAGCAGGTTTGTAAATGGAGAAATAAATGCAATCCAGTTATAATTACATCAGCTTTCCAACTGCAGGTTGTTATGGTGCAAGGCAGCAGCATTGACAAAGACTCCTGGATAGGTGTTGAAACTTCTAAAAAAAAAACTAAGAGAAAGTGCATTTGCCTCTCATTTTAAGCCTGTTTGTGGTTGCCATGACCCGATGACTGGGAGTTTACACAGAAGTTAAACTTTATAAAACTACTTAATCAAAAACAATTTTGAGAAGAATTTTGCTGTTTCGTCAGATTTAATTTTTCAAATGTTATATCCAATTTCCTCTTTTTGAAAATGATTTTTGTTATTAGTTCTCTTTTTCAAATTGCTTTTTTACAGATTTCATTCTTTACATTTCTGGGGGCGGGATTTCCTCTGGTGTGAGGAAGGAAAATGCATTTCTATTGGTCTGCTGGACATTTGTATTCGGTTTGAATTGAAGAGAATGTGATCTGTAAAACTCAGTTTGATAAGAATACAATTCTTATCAAAACCTTGTCTGAAAAAGAGAAATCCGTAAAAAAAAAAAAAAAAAAAAAAAAAAAATAAAATGTAGTAAAATAAAAAAGAAACAAGTGAATTAAAAAAAAATAAATTATAAGTTATAAATAAATAAGTTATTTTCAGCAAATTGATTCTCAAAATCTTTTTACATTTTTAATATTTTAGTGTGTAAAAAAAAGAAAAATACATTTTTTTTTGGATGCTTTTCATCCATGTTTTCATTTACATAACATGCTTTTTAGTTGCAATAACATTGAAACAAAAATCCCTCCATATTAAAGCCACTTTTTTGTTTTGGAATCTGACAGCAGACCAATATAGACCAGCAGACTGAGAGATTGAGGAACTGGTTTTAAATTCAAGGCTACATTCATGTTCTAGATCAGGCCTGCTGTCCTGCAGGTTCTACATAACGATGCATCGATTCGACATAGGTCGGATATTGACATGAACCAATTAAAGGGATTGGATATCGGTTATTTCATACCAGATATTCCACTTTGTTGCACTTTACATAGAACTGTTAATTTTTTCTTATTGATGCTTATTTGTTAATAAATAATATCAAGTACATTAATATGTGTGTTAACTTGTGTTAAACTTGTTACCTTGTTTAATCTTTATGTCGAGGCTAAAGCCTTCTCTCACATGACAAGATATATGGTTCATTCATTCTACAGTTGGGAAAACTACATCGATGGACCTCTAGTTTTAGTGGTTTCCCTGCTTCAAGGCAGCTGATTTCCATTGAAAGCTCATTAACAGGCTATTGCTGAACTTCAATCATCAGAATCAGCTGTGCTGAAGCAGGGAAACCTCTAAACCCTGCAGGACAGCGGCACTCGAAGGCCGACTTTGAACGGATCTGCTTTACATCAGAGAGCCTAAAATATGTCTGATCTGGTTTGTTGCTCAACAAATTTTAGTTTAGTTCATGTTGATATTTAAAAGGAGCTCAGATTGCTGTAAAGCGGCGCTCTGGGTCACATGACCCAACGAGTGACGGATCTGACCTTCTAAAGTCACATAGCTGAGTTTTTGAGAAGAGCAGCCTGAACAAAGCAACATTATGTGCCAACGCTGTTTACAAAGATTTTACTTTAAAATAATGACATTTACCTTAAAAGTTGTTTTTAAAAAAAAAAAAAAAAACTAAATAAATCTATAAAGGGGCAGAAACCATTTCACTATGACTCATTTGACCACATCAGGAAATAACTTCATGGATCCACTTATCTATTCACTGTAATTCTCAGGATAATTCACTCTATAGAGTAAATCCCACTATGAGAAGGACATGAACTCTCTGAGTTCATGTGCATCTACAGGCTCTAAGCTTCTCTGCAGGAGCCTTATGGTTGCAGCAGCCCCCACCAGGAGGAGGAACATTCCTGCTGCAGTAACATGACCAGAGCTCAGGGACTACAGACCCTCAGGCAGCGGCACCTTTTAGCTTGTGACCACTTAAACCGAGCTTATGTATTACAGCTCTTTAGAGGTCCACAGAGGGACCTTTCAACTGCTTTTGGACCAATGGTTTAGAAATCCCTGTGGCTCAAACCTGATTAAAAAAAACAGACTCTTTTTGCTTAAACAGTGAACCTACTACTGCTGTGTCCTCAGTGTCCCGTTTTTTTCTTATGTCTTATAAAACAGATCTTCTCTGTTTTAAAAAATAAATAGCTAAATGAGAAATGATCAGAATGAAAAACTATGGAGGCGTTGAGTACGACATGGTTTGTGATGCCGTTTGGCCTGTGGACTGTTTCTGCTGTGATACTAACAGCCAGCCTCTTTGCTGATGACCCACCTCCATGGGATGATTTAGTTTCTTTCTGTTTTATACAAAGAAAAGAAAAGATGGTCAAGTTAAAGGTCAGAATATCAGTTAGAATATGATGTTGCCAAATTGTGCTTCAATGTTCTTTTAAACATGAGTTAGTTGCACTCTGGGTGGATTTCCTCCAACCCACATGTTAGGAAATTATAATTGGAGTTTTAATATATAAAAACAACCCTGCTAACATTTAGCTGTCAATCAGGGGGCTACTAGAACCCATGGCGTATTATAGCCTAGCTTCAACCTTTACGGCTCATTTCGTTTGAATATTTGACTGTTGTCAGAAACAGCAGTTCAATTCAATTCAGTTTATTTATATGGCGCCAATTCACAACACATATCACCAGATCATACAGTAAAACTGATTCAAAGTTTTCTATCTACGGAAAACCAGTTGATTGCATCGACTCATTGACTCAAATGCAATCCCTCACACTAAGCATGCTTGTAGCAACAGTGGAGAGAAAAAACTCAATTTTAACAGGAAGAAACCTCCAGCAGAACCAGGCTCAGTGTGAGCGGCCGTCTGGGGTTCAAGGAGACAGAAGCAGACATAGAAAAAGCAGCTGTAAAAGGCGGCCCCGTCAAGGAAACACACAGCCAGGCAAGCTCCAAGCAGCTCTCATGTCAGAGGATGAAGAGAGCACATCCAGCCAGTCACGGTCAGAGAAACAGAACTACACTGGAAAACAGTCCGAGCATCGCTCTATGCTATCTTTTGCAGGGCTCTATGAAGTTTGTTGCTCTTCTTTTGAGGTTCATAAGTTGACGTCAGGGTTGAGGTAGTGGCCCGATTAACATTAGCTGCTTTGATCCAGTCTGTAATTGTTCTAATTGTTCTAATTTATTAACATAAATCGTGGTTTTGTTGAAGGTATGAAGAAAGAACATGCAGCAGTGGATGAATGTTTATATTTAAGCCTCCAGATTTATTTAGGACCCCATAGGAGAAGAGGGAAAAAAACACAATAAACTGAAGATTGTGGACTTTCTGTTTAGAAAACCAGTAAGAGTTAGTCCTGTATCTACAGTTGTTGTCTGTTTGATTAAAAAAAACAAAAAAAAAACAATAAAATTTACAACAAAGTCTGGAAAATAATGTTGGTTAAAATAAAGACAGGGTGTTTTTGAAAATTTCATTTAAGAAATTGTTTTTTTTTCACTCATGAGGCTTGTGAGTTCAGTTAGTCAGTCTCCCACAGCATCTTTCCTCCAATAGAGCTGAAGCTATTGACCCAAATTAATCAATTACTGAATATTATTAGGTTCTGTTAGAAAAAAAGTTTCCTATCGAGCACTTTTTGCTTTTATTAATCGGTTGATTCAGTCAATTTTTATTTATATAGCGCCAATTTACAACACATATCATCTCAGGAACTTTATAGAAACTGTTCAACTACAGTAGATCATACAGTCAGACTAGTGAACTTGATCCTGGATGAGCATATGGAGACAGTAGACATTTGCTTGCATTGTGTCATTGACACTTTAGCAATCCCTCACACCAAGCATGCAGCAACAGTGGAGAGGAAAAACTCCCTTTTTACAGGAAGACACCTCCAGCAGAACCAGGCTCAGTTTGAGCGGCCATATGTTGCCTGGGGGTTCAAGGAGACAGAAGCAAATACTCAAAAGGAACATAGAAGGCCTGATCTATAAATACTTTGCATGTTTGAAATGTTAATGGTAAACTAGCTCCATAGTTTGGCTCTGTTAAGGAAAGAAATTGTTGAGCAAACGAGCTCTGAGCCCATTTTCATGTCAAAAGGGATGGAAGAGAGGACATCCACTTAATTAAGACTAAAAATAGACAGAAAATGATCAATTAGCAAAATAATCTCAATTGAAAAATTTAGCAAAATGTGCAATACATGTTGTAGCTTCTTCCAAGTTAAACAATTTCTTGGTAATTTACCAAAAGTATCTCATTTTATTGCTTTAATTTAGGCTGCTCAGTGGGGCAGTGAGTAGCACTGCTGCCTTGCAGCAAGAAGTTCTGGATTCAATTACCGGCCCGGTCTTTCAGCATGGAGTTCGCATGTTCTACCCATGGAATCTTAAACTGATCTGCTAGCTTACTGTGTATGCTCTATTTTTATTATTTACAGTGACATGGCCTGTCTGCGTTCACAGCTTTGATTTATGGGATGTTTAAAATAAGAACTTCAAAAGTATTTTTGTTTAAATAACATCTTTCATTTGGAGAGGAAATTTTAATTGATACATTTAATTCTATTTTTTTTAGCCCTTTTAAGCTGTTTGTAGCATTAAGATTCATTTCATAAACCCAATAGAAACATGTGTTAAAGACTGCTGTTTATCCGTTGCAGTTGTTTTGTTTCATCTCTTTATTCTTGCTTCATACTCATGAAGTGTTTCATAAATATTTGGTCAGATTAGACCAAGTTTTTGCTGTCTGACAGAGATCTGAAACCGTTCTCTTCCTCTCCTTTCTGCTTCAGCACTGGTGACGTCGCCCTGCTGAACTGCACTGCCATTGTGAACACCAGCAATGAGTCTCTAAACGACAAAAACCCGATTTCTGACAGCATCCAGCAGCTGGCTGGGCCAGAGCTGCGGGAAGAGCTGGTCAAACTCAAAGGTTCGGACGAAGGGAAGAACTATAACGATGATGTAGAATCTGGGATTCATACTTAGTTGATTTGAATTTGTTTGCAGGATGTCGGACAGGAGAGGCCAAGCTGACCAAAGGATTTAATCTTGCGGCGAGGTACATCATCCACACCGTGGGACCCAAGTACAAAGCCAAGTACAGGACGGCGGCGGAGAGCTCGCTCTACAGCTGCTACAGGAACGTCATGCAGCTGGCAGCGTAAGACGCAGCAGTTCAGCCGCTCATTAAACCAGTTTGAAACAGTCCAGCTTTAAACTGCTCGGCCTCTTCCTACCTCTCTGAGCTTCTCCACCCTTATGTTCCCACTCGGTGCCTCGGGTCAGCTGATCTGCTGCTCCTGGAGACACCGAGATCCAAACAGAAGCTCAGAGGAGACAGAGCCTTTTCAGTTGTGGAATCCTCTTCACTGTCTATTTTTAAAACTTGAGTTAAAAATTTTTTTGATTCTTTGGCTTCTAACACAGCATGAGACTCTCTCTGTTTTTTGTGTGTGACTTTTTTCAAAATACTTTATAAATAAAGTTGAGTTGGGTAGCCATGCTTTTTAAAATGTAGCAAACAAAAGATTTAGGGGTTAAAACGTGATGTGAAAAGTTTTATTTCTCTTCCCTGCAGAGAGCAGTCGATGGCGTCGGTCGGTTTCTGCGTGGTGAACACAACCAAAAGAGGCTATCCGCTGGAGGACGCGGCACACATCGCTTTCAGTAAGACGCATTCAGAGTCTCCCAGATACACATGTATACATGTATTTTACTTAGGCTCTTGTGGGACCTTCAATACTAAAATATTTTAAACGTCTGGTTGGATTGAGGTGGATTCTGTTACTTTACCTTCAGTAGCGTGCTGAGAAGGTGACTGAATGGTCAGACGCTCACAGTCTGTTTGACCCGACTGCTGAGACTATAGCATTGGGATACAGCAGGGGGCTGTTTTCATAATTAAAGCTGTTTTGCCCTAAGAGCAGCATCTCTGTTTCAATGCTACTCGATTCTCCCGGTTGTTTAAATCCAGACAACAACACAATCCAAATCCGTTTATTTATATGGTGCCATGTAAAAGAGAGGAAAGACAGGGCGTACAGGTAGTCAGAGGGGAAAAAAACAAGCCCATAGGTACAGTATATTTAGGAGAGGAACAGGACTAAACACTGGAAAACTGACCCAATATTCCCCTATATTCAAAGATGTTAGATGCCTCCTACCTGCTGTCACAGAGTCAGATTTCAGGTTAGAATTTTTCATCAAATAATTAGGCAGAGATTTTAAATTATGCATAATTTAAAAATGCATCTAATTAGTTTACTCTTTTTTTTTTTTATTCTGTTAGTTTTCTCAGGAAATAATGTATTTTTAGTTGGTTGGAAGCTTCTAGAAGCTGCACACCATGCCTGCAGCGCCCCCCTGAGTGAAAGATTGCGTACTGTTGGTTGAAGGAGGGTGTGGTGCCATAGTCCTAAAACCCGACTAAGAAAAGCAGAAAACCAGGCAGCTTTAAGCTTAAAAAAGAACGCAGAGATGCCTCCATGATTTACAGAAGTGAGGCGAAGGCAGATTATTGTAAATCAAGTAGCGTCACTCTATGAAAACACATTGATGGGACACATGGAGGACTTTCCCCTCCAAAGCTCCCAAGACTGATTAATGATAATCTGAGCAACATCATGCTCTCATTAAAGCAGCGGATTCATGTTTAGTTTTCCATAAAGCTTCACCTGCAGTGTCGGTTTCTGACCTCTGGGTAAATTTACATCCACTATTCTACAATCAGAATTGCTAATGGTCTTTGTTAGGGATGCTTTGAAAGTTATTTAATAATTAATCTAGATTTGATTGATTTTATTCGACTCACGATTATTTGATAAGCGGCCATTGAAAAAATAAAAAAAAAGTTTTCTCTTGCATGAAGAGGATCTTTCTATAACATGAAGGGCTGAATTTCAGTTTTTACAATATGCTCAATGAAAAGATATAAGTCAATATATTACAACAATTTTTAGGCTAGATGTATAAAACACTGACTGACAAAACAAAAAAATGTTTTATTAAACATTTTTAATTTCCTTTAAACATTTTAAGCATAAACTAGATGAATTTATAAAATATAGTAAAACAGAACATATTGGCTTTCCTGAATATAAAGACACAATGAAAAATGTCAGAAACGTATAATTATAGTGATTAAAAGACAGGGTATGCCGCTCCGATATACTGTCACACTAATTATTTCCTTTCAATGACGCGAACGCTAACTGTGATTATATCTCTTTATTTTTTAGTATAGCTCAGCATTCATTAACCTGACTCCGCCAGATGGATTTGCTCCGCATTTCCATCTGGAAACCTTCCGTTGAAGTAATTTTGGGAAGGGGCGAAAATACTGGTTAGCTGATTGGCCTATGTTGGTGATAGACGGGCCAAATAAACCAATCAGATCAACGAAGCATATGACGTACTAACAGAGCAACGACGAAAACACAACCACAAGATCAAACTCTTGCCGAAACCAGTCGGGAGAAGAGCAAAAACATATTTTCCTCTGAGAAAAGCCTCCAGAGCAGTGTTTTGCTCTTCTTTCAGTGAAGAAATACTCTGTAATTCCCATAAAACTTGCTCGATAGCCACGCTAACGCTAGTTTCATCGGCTGAAGCCGCCATGTTCTTTAGAATGAGCTGTCGCCCTTCTCGTTGCGTCACACCTCAACCCGCCTCAAAGCCAACGCTGATTGGACGTTCGTTTGGTGAACGGCTCCAAATTTTCTTTAACGGAAAGTAACCAGACTGATCTGAAACCTTGAAAGCTCGCGAGATCAGGATGGTCTCACGAGGCTAAGCATTCATAGGTTAATGCTGTTAGCACTGCTAACAGCATAAAGTGCTAATAGCATAAAGCACAAACATGGCGTTCTAGTTGCTCACAGAGGAATGTTATCTACTGTACTTATTACCAACATGTCTTCTTCTATCATGTTACATAGGTTTTGCTTAATGCCCTCCACTTTTCTATCATGACACTCTCGCCTTCAGAGCACAATAGGTAAGTTACGCTGCCTCACCGTGCAGCACAGTTAGACTGGCGCTTTTTAGGTGATAACTCAAGGAGTTTATCCAAAACCAAATAAAGTTCGTTCTATATCTTGACGCCATTAAACAGTGTAAATAATCCTGTTTTCTGGATGGATTCATGTTTTTGCTCTAGCATCTTCCCCCGCACTGGCCTTACTGCCCTGGAAAATAAGAGTGAGGCTTTGTTTTGGAAAGAACAACAGCACCCTCTGCTGGTCAGTGGTAATATTAAAAGATCCAATTAAGCTGAAGTAACCAGTTAAACGAATGGAGCAATTTTTTACCTACTGCACGGCTC